CAGAATTGTACTAGGAACACAACTGCTTCCTCGAAAAATTGAAAAACAATGCAAAATAGGCCATGTTGAATTTTATAAGGGTACATGACTTCAAGATGTCTCTGATTATATATGTAAGTATGTGGGTGTGTGGGTGTGTATATATTTAGTGTGACTATTTTATGCAATGCGATCAATATACACTTTGTCATTTCAAATATTTACTTCTTTATAATTCAATCATTCAAAACCATGACGGTGCCTTTCCTATCATGAAGTGTAAAACTGTTGATATAGATGTTAAGAGATTATGCAGCTTCAGAAATGTTTATTGGAGTCCTCCAATATCAAAATTCATGAAACACCTTTTTAATAATAATAATAGTTCTTATAATGTCTGCAAATAGGTGTTCTGTTTTAAATAGAGGCTATAATAGGGATTTTTAATGATGTGATATGGATTGTTATTCCTTATAATGCTTTCACTCATTTTATGCACTTGGACATTCCCAGATTCAGAAATGTATACTATGCTTTACAACAAATGCAGCCACACTAAAAGATATTTTGGAATTTCAGAATTCTTGTAACCTGATGATTTTATGAAACATTCTTCTGTTGCAATCAACATCCATTATGTATTAACTACAGCGTTTTATTGCACACATTGATTGTAAAATATCACACAGGGAACAGCTCAGTATAAATAGTGTTTAAAAGGATTTTATTTTTAATGTGCTCTCTTAAGGATTTGCTGTGATTCATTCATAGAGAAATACTTCACTGTACAGAATTTTCCCCAATGTATGTTGCAGCTTGTTAACAAACTAGAAGAATTTCCTATGAAATGGCAAGTGATATATTTCACATTTTCAGTTTAAATTTTTTAAGAGTCTCTGAGGTTCTGAGGAGAGAAGGACATTTTGTTTTCTTTTAAACTCATCCATTATCAATTTTCCTTCATAAAACTATGGCAGAAGTAAAAAGTGATACTCAAAGAAAGAATATGAAGATGACAAGATCATATTCAGAACTGTGTTCACTAGAAGGGAGAGGAAACTGGCACCTGAAAAGAACTATGTGAAAGAATGTGACAATATCTTTGTGTCTCTCTACTATTTACAAAAAATTGCAGCCTCTCAAAATGGAATAGATCCAAATATATTAAGCGCAATGTTATAAAATAGTTCACTATAAAACACAGAGCTAAAAGTGAGAGTAACAAAATTATGACATTAATTATGACATTATCAAAATGACAGTATAACAAAAAAACAAAAAACCACCCTCTAAAGAAAATGAATTATCCAAAAAAAATTATTATTTTTCTTTTTGTAGCATTTTTTCCTCCAGAAGAATATTTCTACAAAGCAAAGTAATCAATCTGAGCAATATATGTATTGCTATTTCACTGTGTAGATTACTGGATTTATTAAGACACATGCACAATCATGTAATTGCAACATAAGCATGTATTTTGACTGCAGTCATAGAGGTAGCATTCTCCTGGATTCTAAACCCTGTCAAAATGCCTTTCTCCTTCCTGTTTCTGAGTACAAGGAAGACTGTTGCATTCAGCTCAACAAAGCTATTCACCCCAAAATGATAATGGCTTTGCATAAGCAGGCAGATACTTTCTTCTGATTGAAGCACACTGGGATACATATATTTTAATGATATCTACTGAACTCCAAGAGAAAGCTGTATTTTAAATTTTATGTCAGACCTTTTAAATTCAAGATTACTTGTTACAAGCAGATGAACAATTAGTCCTAACTGTATCTTTTTATTATGCAGAATTGCCTGCACAAGAATGAAGTGAGATCCTCTGGAACACCAAAAAGCAGACTTTTGGTCTTGAGAAGGTTCACAGCAAATACCCTTTAATAATAAAGATTAATAATTTTGGAGAGTACTATTAGGTTCATTCTTTTTAATAATAATTTATGCTGTAATATGGCTTGCTACTATTTTATGTTATTTACCACTTATATTAACATGACAATAATGTTGATATAGAAAAGATCCTTCTCTGCCTGAGACCTCAAAGACCTGTCTGTTACCTATCCAAAGGAGGGAAAATGAAGGGATAAGACAGAATTGTAATTTCCCAACACATTCTTAATAAAATTAAGTATTGTATTCAATGAGGCTGATGCACCTAAATGCTATCTAGGTGCAACCCTTAACGGTATAGAAAAAGTTTAACACTTTCTATTTTTAAAAAATCTGTCAGTGTCATGAAACAAGCACCCCAACCCTCAAGTTGCGAATCTCAATGGATTCAGCAGAATTAATAATGGTGCTGAAATTACAAAATTTTATTCCTTAGAGAACTAAATGTGGCACATATTTAGTTCTCATATCCAAGGAATAAAAAATAAAATTATATTCTTATCTACCCATGATGTTCATAGAAATAAGAAAGCTGCTGCTTTAAAGGTGACAATTTAATTCCAGAATATAGCAAAAAGCTAAGCAGAAAAAGTTACTTTAGCCTTAGGCATAATCTATAGTTTACTGGAGGAAGAAAAGGCCTACAGAAGTGAAGGAAACCTTCACACACACACACACACACACACACACACACACACACACACACACACACACACACGATATATAGATATATATATATATGTAAAATTTTACATATTTAATATTATATATATGCGTGTGTGTGTGATATTAAATATGTCTAAAATTTTACATATATAAAATTAATGTTTTACATAAAATTATTTTTAGCAGAAATTAGCAAGATTTTCAAAAAGATTGAAACCTAAATAGAATACTATTTACTATTAAATACCTGCAGTAAAAATGTAAGCTTTAATATGCCATTTTCTTAACCACAGTTATCCATTCCTTTATATCTTACACCTTTTAATAAAATGGCAATGTCCTATGTTTATCCTTTTCTCTAGTAAAAATTGTCCCTAGCCAAGTCTATTTCATTCTACATGATTCCTAATAGGGACAGGTGAGATGACAAATTTTAGTCTTTTGAAAGTGTGAATGACACAGATACCAAAATAGCTAGAGGAAAATAGGGATGTCAGTCAGTGCTCTGAACATATTTGGTACTTGGAAAAAGAGATATGGAATCTTCCAATTTGAATTAAAAAAATTACTAGGAATTCATATTTCCCCTCAAATTAGTTGAGCCAGTTTAGGAAACATAAATATGTTTAAAGTGAGAAAAAGATCATAATGCATATTCAAATTAATGCATGAATAGCTGACATTATGTCGGTTTAAGAGTTTAGAAAGACTTTAAATAGTAAAGCCATGTGAAGAAATATTAAGCTTTTGAACCCTGGATATACATAAATGGAAACATTGCCAATGATTCATTTTATTTGTTGGAGAACACAGGACTTATACCTAGTAATATACTGATCCTGCAGCTGTGATCAGACATAACATAGATCACAGGTCTTTGCCAAGATCAAATGCAAAAGTATTGCATTGCTCAGTACTGAGAATCTATTCTAAAAGCTCAGCTGGCAGCACATTTCATACTACCAATTTTAAAGGAGACATTTCAAGAAAAGCAAGCAATGTGAGTTGATTACAGCAAATTCTCACAGTTTTTCAGCAAGTGTCAACTTGCATAACATAGCACTATAACCTCCCTTCTGTTTACTGCATGGTGACAAAATACTTTGGGTTGCACTTAATTTCTTACAAATCTCTGAAAACATTGATCTGACAGCTCTATACAAAAAGCCTGAGCAAGAATTGTAGCTTCCCACTAATTTCCCAATTCTCATTTGTGGATGATACAACAGAACATTCCTCACTTGTAGGAGAGGCTTTTCAGAAATTTTTAAAAGTTTTCTGAAGATGAGCACAGCACACCATTCTCAGTACTGGTTATCCTCAGGATAGTGCAACACTTTAGCTAAAGTAAAAGAAAAGTGCTGTATTAAACATGCTGTTCTCATAACCACCTTCCTAGTCCAAATCAAGGGGAAGTGAATACCTCTTGAAGTTCAAGTCAACTTTGGATTTAATATTTAATGAAAGAAATTTATAGCCACAATCTCAGGAGTTCCTTCTCAATGCTATGTATCACTGCATATCAATCAGCTGCACTAAATTCTTGCTAAAACCGGAAGCAACTGAACCAAAAGAAATAAAAATATCTCCCCTTTACCTTTTCAATACATAAGTTCCTTTCCTACATCTCAGAGTGGTAAGCTATAATTTTATTATACTGTTTCCTTTGGTCCAAGAGAGGTACCCCTTGTTGGAGCACTCTAATCCACTTATTTTGTCTATCTGTCTGCCGCACATATTTAAAGTTTAAAAAAAGGGGGGGCTTCCTAACTCCAGCATATTCCTTGCAATAAATGCAACCAACCATCTTCTGAAGAAAAGCTTCATCACATCTAAAGTCTGCCTAAAGGCTGAACTGTCCCAGACTTCGGAAGGTTTTTTTTTTTACACGCATTTATCATGAATACCAGGTCTTCGCGTCGTGTTTTGGGTAGGGAGATCATCCCCATCACTGGGAATATGGCAGGAAGGGGGAAAATAAAATACCCAGAGAAATCCAGAGCTCTACAAAGAAAGCAGCGCTTTTTTTCTGTAAAACCTCTGTAAAGTGAGAAAGTGGAAGAGTTTATAGAGAGCGCAGAGAATCCTTAACAGAGCAGCGACGCCCGGTTGTGCCTTATGACATTAAGTTTGGTTCCAACTTCCCACGCTTCGCCACCCTTGCGACAGCGGTTGGCACCCAGGTTTTCTTTGAAGGATTGAAGGGCGGGGGACTGGCCGTCGTTGTCTCTGCAGACAGGTCAACCCGGCAAAGCTACCACCGGCAAAAGAAAAACAACTTTCCCGAGACAATCGACGTCTCCTTTGCTCTCAAGGGAGAAAGAAATGCCTCCACTGTCCTTCTCGAAGACAAAGTCTAGGCACAGCCACAGAAAGGAAGGTAAGAGCTCAAAACCCTCTCCCAGGTTACCGCTGACGTCCGTCGCGAAAGAAGGAAGCCGGAGTGGAAAGAGACTTACCAAAATACATTATGTTTCTCATTAATTGGGCACTCCAGCTTCCACCGCCGGGTGCTGCTCAGCATTAGCTCCCGCGCCGAGCTGCTGCTGCCGCGTGAAGCAGAGCGAGTCTGTCTCATCCTACATGATGTGGAAATTTCCAAGCCTCCGAGAACGAGCGGCGTGAGCCTCCTTGGGTCAGGGCTTGAAAGACAGGCTTTTCCCCGATACAATCCAGCTCTGGTTTAGCGCCGACTCCCGCTGCATGTTGCACTGCCCAGTTTTAGTGTAATCTGACTCCTCCTTGTGATGTCCTTGCTGTGACATCAGGACCGGGAGTACTACTAATAGAGCGCGGGCTATTTAGACGCTGCTCTTTCTTTGAGGATCGTGGGGAGTGGGAACTGGCGACTCAGGGGGGAGGCCGGTGCTCCTGATTAAGCCACTTTGTTACCCCACATGCTCTCCGCCTCTCTACGCCCAGCCCTACAACTGGCATCAAGCATGGCCACGGAACAATACCTTCCGTTTCACAAGGAGGAGCAACTTTAGCTGCTCTTCGCCATGGAGAAGACCAAGTTCAAAAGGGCAGCGTTCTGGCCAAGCCAACGACAGCCTCGAGGGGAAGCCTGCAAGCAGAGATGCACATCAGGGAACAAGACTGGCACCTGCCAGCAAGATACTTCTCTCTTACAGTCAGAAATTTAATACATTCCTCCTTGACCTGGCACTTTTTAGATGTGGTTTTACAACACCCATTATTTAAAGCCTACCTCCTAGTGGAAAAATAAATTTTAAAAAGCTGGGTGAAGGTACCATGGCATTCTGCACATTTTGGAATTGTCCTGCCTTCCCGCAAGGCTGCACAATCCCAGCTACTATAAGACAATGGAGACCCACAACTAACACAAACACACAAACATGTTTGCCCTTTTCTATGATACTTTATCCTACTTTCAACAAGTCTTGTCTATCAAATATACTTACTCACTCTTAAGAAATTTAGGGCTTCTCTTCTAAATAATTTGTCTTTTGCAAATATCCGGAAAAAATCTTATATGTGGGTGCTGTTATTTGGCTAAAAAAAAGTCTACAGTCAGAAAAAGTTCATTCTTCATTCTCTGCAAGATAATTAAATTTCATAGGATACAGTACCTTTGAGATTTTAGCATGTTCACAGAAAATCATTTATCATTTTAAATCCTTGAAATAATTAGATATTCTCTCCCCTCCTTGTTCTGTTTCTATATGAGATAAACAATATTGACAGCACAGAAGCCACTGAAGTTTATTGTGCTATCACAAACCTTTTGAACAGGATATTATGAATAGATTCCTATTACCACTCTCAGTCCATGGGTTTGCAATTAATAAAAAGAGGAGAGAAAGTTTCATCGTGATAAAAAAAGATCTGAATCTTTTATCACAAGACTACTGACATGCCTACATGACATTATTGGGAGATTATCATTATTCGGTTGTCTTGTCTAGAAGACAAATGCAATGTATCCAGCCAGTTCACATATGATCTGAGACATTATTACAATTGGTATCTGAGTACTGAGATCGGAGACACAATTAGGAACATACACTTTTACTTTTAAGAAGAGATGCCCTAGGTGAGATTTTGATGAAAAGACTTCAAATAAGACTTCATGTGGAACATTACTTTGCCTGTTGATCTATAGAACATTGTTTTACAATAAAATCAATGTAAAGTCTTTGAGTAGCAATGCTCATTTTAGATAAAGAAAAAAACAAGAAAAGGGAAAAGCATTTTTATCTATTCAGATAGGATTTAACACCAGCTTCATTTTTCTAATTACTTCATTTATATTAATTAGGCTTAAAGTAATAAATAAACAAAGTAAAAGCAATTACTACTAATTAATACAACCCTATTAACTGATAAAAGGAGAAAAGAAGAAAATAGGTCTAAATAGCCTTTGCATCAAAAAGATGACAAATGTAGTACACTTAAAACTTGTTTTTTTTAAAAAAAATTACAAGAACCTGTGAATTAAGGCCCTGCTTAAAGAAACTTTATTGTTTAACTCAATAGTGAATGTAACACCGGCATCAAACAAGAAGAACAATATAGGAATTACATATTCAATAATCAAAATAAATGTATAATAGTTATAGGAGACATTTACTCGATTGTATTGAAATATTTCAGGAATAGAAACTGATATGGCATCCATTACTCTATCCATCAAATAAGATTTTTTAAAAAATGATTTTAAATGCTAGTGAAGCAGTGGCACTTTCTAGGTATAAAATTGTGAATGCAGTGACCTTCTTGGTGATGAATGGTGAACAAAGATGTCTCTGATAAGTAGAGATGACAAGTATGGCTAAGATTGATAAGTAGGTTGGTTCTATAGAACTTCTCTGAATAAACAGAGGGTGATAGATCACCTACTTGTGCTCTGGACAGCTGCTCCTCACAAGTAGATTACAAGATAGCAGTTTTCTATAGAATTGAGTGCCAAAAGACAAAGGGAACCATCATGCCCTTAATTGCTTCAAAGCCTTTTAAAGGACACCAAACTCATTCACTGACTCTGTAATTACTTTTGGAAAATACCTGTTTACATAAAGACATTAGAGATCTTTTAAGCAACAAATTTGAAAAGCTACCTGGTGAATTTAGTTTCATTTTTAAATAAAAGAAAAAATAATTATATGGTTAAGAATTTAAAAAAAGACATAAACGCCAAATTTTAAGAATTTCTTAAAATTTTAAGAATTTAAGAACCTCGTGAATAGCCTGGTTGACTGTTATCGCCTCTCTGTTCTGAACACCTTTGGATTCGGGGGAGGGAGTAATTTCTCCTCCTTATCTGTGCTGGCCACTAGTGGCTGTGTTTACTCCCTGCCTGGAGCCTCAAGGCTATGTTACTGCAGCTATGATTCTCACTGCCCAAGTTCAGCCAGCTGCCCATCTGGTTGTTCCAGCTGCAATTGTTCAATCAAGATGGAGCCTGCTGCTTCCTGATCTGCATCTCCAACAGCCTCCGGGCTTCCTGCCCTGTCTCTCCTGGAGATGCCAGGAATGGCTCCTCCTCCTCCTCTGAACTATCATCTGGACAGAAAACCGGAAGCGCATCCAGAGGTGCACCCAACACAATTATAGGAAAGTTACATTTTTGTTATAAGATTTAATAACAGAATCATGGAAACCTGCCAGAGTTTTCTTCCCCTTTTATACCAAGTAGAGTTAAAGCAGGATTACTTTGAGTTTTTCCTCTCATTCCTTCCCCTTTCGCAAAACAGTTCTTGAAATGTTTCATCAAGGTTATCTCCATATTCCTCTAAACTCCTATTTGCTTTTTGGATCAGCATGATGACCTCAATTGCATAAAAATTGTAGGGCTGTGTGGATTTCTGTAAAGGCACATTGCCTCAACAAGCAACTCATTGTAACAAAATAGTGAAATGGTACCTGTTTCTAGAATTGAAACAGTTGGATTGGAAAATAAGCAGATGATCCCCACCATCAAAGAAGAGAAACACATATCTACACTTAACTTGAGGAAAGCAATTCCAACTGCCGGCAAAGTAGCTCATCAGGGCAGATCAAAATGAATCTACATAGGCCTAAAAGATTATACTTCCAGTAAAAGGGCATACTCAAATTTCTTTTACACACATTTACATAATATTTATTAAACTTTTTATAACTTAACCAAGGGATAGTTTATCAAGCTTAAAGATAAACTGAAGATAATCTGAAGCTGATGAAGTTTTTCATTTTTTTCTCCAACAACCAGTCATTGACTCATCTTTTTACCTGGGCTGGTAGGAAAAACAACCTAATTCTTCACCATATGCTGCAATTCAGATTCAAATTATTTTCCTCCTAGAGTTACTTTTATTGAAATAGAGAAATATTATATAGGATACTTTTATAGTAGTTCAGTGCTTCTTCTTCTGTTACTACAGCTACAGCATGATGGGGAACAGAATAGATTTTAAGAGGAAACTTGTAGCCCTTTAGCATTTACAACTCACAATATTCATCATAAATAGATAACACTAGTTTGGACAGATAATGTATTTCAGAGCATTTGGATGATTGCTTTTCTCTTGAATTAGTCCCATTTCTTGCATTATAAATACAGTCTTACCTTATATTTCACACACAATATCTTTTGTTAGGCTTTCAGGCAATAAGTTGTTTTTTTTTTAAAAAAAAACCTAACTATTTGAGCTTTACAGCTGTTCAGAAGAGTTGGACATTTGAGTGAAGAACATAATTGTATTCTTAGTTACTGAAAAATATTATTTAAATACATGTTGGACTTATAAGCTTGATCAAATTGGCTTTGATTCAGTTCAAGAAACCTCTTTATATGTGAAGGTGCTATGAAAAAGTAACACTATTCGAATTTTAGAAAGCATGTTACATCATCTTGTGATCTCAACTGGCACTTGTGCAGAATCTTTTTGCAGGTACTGAAACTGCCGGAGACAGAGACAAAATAAAGCAAAGAACTGGCACTTAACTGGACAAGGGGGAGTCCAATTACTTTGTGAAGCCATATTAAATGGTACCATGTTTCTCCAAAAATAAGACCCTGCCTTATATTTTTTTGAACCCTGAAATAAGCGCTTGGCCTTATTGCCATGCGCTCAAAGGCCCAATTGGGCTTATTATCAGGAGATGACTTATTTGGGGGAAAACAGGGTAGGTTAGCACAAGCCTTCATCAAAATGAAATATCTACTTGAAAATCTATGAAACTCTGATGGAAGGTATCTATGAAAGATTTTCCAGGGTTACTGGATTGTTTTATGGGCTAGGCCTGGCATCAAAATTGCCAAAATAATCCAGTCAAGGTTCAGTTCTTTGTAGTATCCTATATACTTATAACTTAACAAATATACTCTAGGATAAGCTATTCTAAATATCTTCCTCTTTCCACTATTCCACTCTAGACTATGGTGTGTCTTGTTTCATTCCCTTCCTTGGAATATGGTCTTCCTTCATACATCTCCTTGTAGACACATTTTAACACAGCAACTGATATGGTGTGATAAAGTTGAATAAAATGCTTCAAATAAATCTGCATCTGTAGAACTATTAATGATTTCTGAAGAATAGGAAAAACAAAAAAAACCTTAAAAGAATGTAATCTCAAAGCTAAAATGCTCAGAAAAAAAGATTTTTGAATATTAAACTACCTCATGCTATAACACCTGTTCCATGGAGCAGTCCTGCCTGAAGTTACAAAAGTGATGGTTTTCAGCAGCCCAAAAAATTCTGGATCCAACTGTGTGGCCCATAACTAGTTTATAATAGCATGATAGCAACTTGATGACTTCCCTCCTGAAAAT